CCCCAAAACCCCAAAACCCCAAAACCCCAAAACCCCAAAACCCCTCTTTTAATTCACCGTTGAATTATCTACTTGTGAGTAAGTCTATAGTACTCATTCTGCAAGTCCTTCTCCTTAGCTAACTGCTGTCTTAGGTATTTATTCTGCTCTTCTACTCTAGCTCTTTGGATTTTGGATTCAAGTGTCTGGATAGTTTTGAACACCTCAAGCTGACGAGCCTTCTTTTCAATCTCTTTGTAAAGAGAGTGAATCTTTTCAGACCGTTCTTTCTGAGAGGATGTGAGCGAAGTATACTTGTTCTTTAGCTCATCCTCAGCCTTTTTAACCTTCTTCAGCTCTTTTTGCAGCTGCTTCTTTACAAATTTTTCATCTGTTTCCAAAGTTTCCTTTTGTTGAGCAGGAGATAGAGTAGCTAGCTCATTGATAGACTTAAGAGATGGAGTGTACTTCATTGACAATAATGAACTAATTCTATCTTCATAGTTAGAAATAACCTCATCTTGATTTGAGTAATCCTCTTGCTGAGCCATTTCATCCTGAATCAATTGATTAGCTCTTTCAAGCTCGCGCAAGGAGTATTCTGGGTAATCCTTAAGCACCCTGTTTACTGGCTTCGTTTGCTCAAGAGGAAATTTTGAATTATCATGAATCAATATTCTAGACATTTCATCATTGATAAGTCTCTCAGCTTGTGAAGGCTTACTAGTGGCTTTAAACTCTTCGAAGTTGATAATAGATGGTCTTGGAAGACCCATTTGGATAACTTGACTTTGTCTTTTAAACTGTTCAACCTCACGTTTGAAGGCCTCTTCTTCCAACCTTTTCTTAGTGAGCTCTCTATCTTCAATTTGTTGTTCTTGCTTTTGGACTAGCTCTGAGTCATCAAGTTCTTCTATATCATCTACCTCCATTTGGTATTGATTCTTTGGCTTGGGCATTGATTTGAATGAATTCAAGAGGTCAAGCTTATTTCTTTTTTCTTCCATGAGCTCCTGGTACTTCTGTTCTTTGGCTGTTAATGAAGGAGCCAAAGAGTTGCTCTCCCATGCTGAATCTGCTTCATAAGTCTCTCCATCAGGTTTGGCAGCACCAGGTCTTGCTGGAGTAATGGCTCCAGGAGGAAGCATACGAGTAGCCGTATCCTTTGGTCTAAGAATAGAGTCTGGCCTCTGCATTGATTGAACAACATACGCATTTGGAGTCTGAGAGATAGTATTCTTCAGTGATTGTGTGATTAAGCCAACACCAGCTTGTGGACCCTCTCCTCCCACTAGAGGTGTCTCTGCATTCATTATATCATGGGTTCTTTTAGCCTCGCTCATTAAGGAATTTTGGACCATAGGAGTTCTCATAGCCATTGGAGTTTGTTCTCTCTGAGACATTTCTCCAAGTAAAGCTTTGGTAGAATCATTGTTGCTTGAAGACAAAGCATTTGCTTTTTCTTTATTCATTTTACTAATAGTGTCAATTTCTTGGTCTGAAATCTGAGCAGCAGGAAGATTAAGTTTTGTCTTAAAAGCAAGAGTGTTAGCATCATTCATCTTAGAAACTATATCAACGGCTTTGGGTAAGTTCTTAATCTTCATTTTCTTCATCTTATCTTTATCGAGTTCTTTTCTCTTCTTTTCTTCCTCATCCCTTCTCTTCTCAACATAAGTTCCAATTTCAGCATTAGTAGGGGGTGGCAGGAGCTCATCCTCAATTTCATACCGGCCTGTTTGAACTTTTCGCTCGAACGGCACCCCCTGGTTATAGTCTACACCTTTGATCTCCCTTCGGATATCGATTTCAATGCCTGCAACTTTAAGTTCTCTCTTCTTTTGTAACTCAGAGAGTCTTTTAGCATGAGAGAGTTGTTTTTCTCTTTCCTTCCTCTTAGCCTTCTTACCTTTGGTATTGGCAAGCCTAGCTCTTGCTTCTTGAAGCATCTCTTTTTCATCCTCATCCATATGAATAGCATCTGGTTTGGCAGGTTTTGTTTCTGGATTTGGATCTATTTCTCCAGGTCTGAGCTTCCTGGGATCGTTTTCATCCATCTCTGATTTCCCTTGAGCCTGATCGAGAAGTCTTTCATAATGTTCAATACACTGTGTTGGTGTTCTTCCAATTCTGGGAGCGATTGTTCTCCATTGAGCTGGGAAGATCTTGGCAAGGTAGAGTAATTTCTCTTCTTCCTCTCTGGTCCACTCAGTTTTCTTGATTCTTGGGTCGAGCCACTCATACCATCTAGCCTTACACTCCTTGGCACTCTTCCTAACAATCAGTGAAGAGATTCTACTCCATTGGTTAGGCCCGTACTTCATCACACATGCTTTAAGAATTTCATCTTCGGTATTTTTCCAAATACCTCCCTTCATAAGCGACCTCATTGGATTTAATTTTATAAAATTGAGTTGATATTTCTTAGTTCTAACTTTTGGATTTGGGTATCAATTCTGGGAAAATATTATGGGGTTTTGGGGTTTTGGGGTTTTGGGGTTTTGGGGTTTTGGGG